CTAAAACTACATATGATTTCAAATACCAAAACATTCAGAGTCCTATCTACCAAGACAAGGTGACATTGATTCACCTTTTTCCTACCCCTGTCCTGTAATACAGTTAAATACTCTGGAAAGAATTTAAGAGACGGTCATAGAAGGGTTCCAAAATGTGGAAAGGAGAAGGTGGACTGGATCAGGATCTCATGACTTGAGGAAGGAAGTGCAGTGCATTCCCTTCATTTCATCTCCCACTAAGAACACTCGAGAGGGGCTGGAGCAATAGCACAGTGGGTAGGGCATTTGCCTTGCACGCGGCCGGCCCGGGTTCAATTCCCAGCATCCCATAGGGTCCCATGAAGCACCGCCAGGGGTAATTCCTGAGTGCAGCGCCAGGAGTAAACCCCTGTGCATCACCGGGTGTGACCCCCCCAAAAAAAAAAGCACTAGAGAATGCCTACCACCCACCACTAACATAGACAATCAATAAAAAGAAGGGAAGGGAAAGGAAAGAACAAAAGAAAAAGACAGCTTGCTTTTGCCAAAAAAACAGGAATAAGGAAGACTTAGTGGTGAGCCCTGTTTCTCAAGTGTCATCAAGAGAATTATTTCCACTCACAGCTGCATACCTGATCCCTTACACTGACAGCAAGATCCTTCTTCTACCCCCTACTGAGTGACAGCGCCAACAGCTCTGGGGCTTTCAGCCCTCTGTGCCCAGGGACGTACAGTTTTCTCTACAGCCATCCCTCCCACAGCAGTGAGAGTCCAGCTAGGAGGGGTGCTTTCCTTGCACGTGGCTAACCCAGGTTCCATTCCTGTCACCCTGTATGGTTCCCCCGAGCATCACCAGGAGTGATCCCTTGAATTCAGAGCCAGGTGTAAGCCCTGAACATTGCTAGGTGTGACCCAAAAACTAAAAGAAAAAAACCAAACCCAGTAGGAGATTAGAGATGTCAGAGAACAGAGACATCAAACTTGAGAACAAATGAATAGAATTGAATAGAATTTATTCAGTCTGAACAAGAGATTAAAATAGACAGGGGTGGGAGGCAAATGGGGGCATTGGTGGAAGGAAGTGGACACTGGTGATGGGATTAATGTCAAAATATTGTATGCCTGAAACCCAATAATGAATAATTTTATAATTTCATAAATAAAAAATTTTTAAATAGATGGAACAAAAAATGTATAAAGACAGACCTTTGAACAGTAACAAAAATTTGATATTTGTATTATCAGGATACAAAGAAATGAGAAAGAACGTGAGGCTGAACTGTGAAATAGTGACTGAAATTTTTTTAAAAAGATTAAAAACATACAGCATATATTTGTGACTGTAATGGAATCAAACTATAAACCAGTAACAGAAAAACTAAGAAAATATTCGTGTGCTTTGAAATTGTGCCATGTACTTCTAAATATTCCATGAGTCAAAGCGGATGTTCTCAAGGGAACTGAATGAAAGTGAAAATATAGTATATCCTGTTTTATGGAATACACCTACAGCTGTGCTGAGGGGAATTTATAGCACTGGTATGTTTAGAAAAGGCTGATGAGAAGGGAGCTAGAGACAATAGTCGGAGAGTATTAGTACTCGGGTGCTAAATGTGGTACAGTGACATTGTAGCATTAACATTAACACTGGTGGATCAGTGATAGTACAGCAGGTAAGGTGCTTGCTTTGCATGCATTTGACCCATGTTTGATCCCTAAATCTGCATATGGTTCCCCCAGCACTGCCAGGAGTGGTCCATCAGCACAGAGCTAGGAGTAAGCCCTGAATATCTGTGGTCCAAAAAAAAAAAACAGAAATATTAACATTGATGTAAATTATTTTGCCAAATTTTACTTTTTTTCTGGAGAGGGGCCTATACCTGACCATGTTTGAGGACACTGAGTTGTTAATTCAGGAATGTGTTCCTGACAGTGCTTGGGGATTTTGCAATGCTGGGCCTCCTTTATGCAGAGTATGAAGAACTCTGTCTCCAACCTATGAAACCTAAATTAAAAAATCAAAATCAGATGGAAAAGAAAAAAAATATCTAAGTTGTTATCTGAAGAACTAGAAAAAGACATGCAAACTAACTGTAAACAAACCAAAACCATTTAAACCAAAATATGGTTTTTGGGAGGTGGGTGGGCACAGCAGCACCCAACGATGCTCATGGCTCTTCTTGGCTCCAATTCTCAAGGATTCCTGGTATGCACATGGAACCCTGTGCAGTGCCTGGAATTGAATCAGGGTTGATTGCATTCAGGTTAAGTGTAAAATCTTATCACGCCGAAGGTTGTATGTTCACGGGCTCACTGGACGGCACTGTTTCACCGCCTGCGTTCGGTGCTCTTGAGCCACTGTGTGTGGCCTGGATCGGAACGGCTGTCGGCCAAGGGCAGACGGAAGAAAAAGCGGGGGCCAGGCCGGTCTATATCAATAGTAGTTTATTCCAATCCTCTTCACTCCTGTCTTTCTCTGCCTCCTTCTCTCCTGGGCCCCAGTCTTGGAAGCTCTCTCCTTCTGGCTCTGACTCTGGATCTCTGGAGCCCGAGCTCTCTCACTTCTCACCCCTTTTCCGAGCTTACATCTTAGTTTATATAGCAGTCACATAAGGCGGTGACATAAAGGTGGGTTGAATACTGACGAATCAACAAAGAGAGGTAAGACCACTCCTCCAGGAGATTAACTCAAGGATAAAATCTCATCTACAGAGATTACTTCAGATTACTAGGAGATCCACCCAAGGGTGGGATCCCAACAAGGGTGTGTTCTTCCTTCAGTTAGTAATCTACTTAAATAGTTGTAATAAATCTACTTCTAGCAATTTCTAGAATTTCTAGCAATGTCATTCTATATGAGCACAGTAAGAGATATAAATTTAGTTTGGTTCTTCCTGAGAACATCTCACTATACATTTCGCAGTCCTCAGGCCAGGTTAATCTTCCTAGCTCCAGCAGGGTCCTAGTCTCGTCGTTACTTACTTTTGGATCATGACAGCATTTGTCCATGATCATGCCCTCAACTTATAGTTGAGTATCGTGGCTCTTTGGCCTGGCCCATTTCGATGCCAGGGTAGCTCACTGCTTGCCCTGGGTCCATTCAGTCCCTCGTCGGGACCCTGCTGCTTTTGGGGTGCTAGGAACTAAGGGCAACTGAGTCAAGAAATCAGATGCCCAGGAGTAAATATTATTCGGAGTCAATCAACTCCCAAGTTACAAAGCATAATATTAACTGTCTTCCTGTGTCCACACAGAAAGGACATTGCTCACAATACAAGTTCAGTGTTCTTAGATGGGTGTGACCTGACAAACCTAAGCTACCTGAGGAAGGACAAAAGAGTGTTATCCTACAGTTATCCTACAGTAGATCCTGAAGTATCTACAGAGATTACTTCAGATTACTAGGAGATCCACCCAAGGGTGGGATCCCAACAAGGGTGTGTTCTTCCTTCAGTTAGTAATCTACTTAAATAGTTGTAATAAATCTACTTCTAGCAATTTCTAGAATTTCTAGCAATGTCATTCTGTATGAGCACAGTAAGAGATATAAATTTAGTTTGGTTCTTCCTGAGAACATCTCACTATACATTTCGCAGTCCTCAGGCCAGGTTAATCTTCCTAGCTCCAGCAGGGTCCTAGCACCTTAGTATTACTTCTCCAGCCCCTAAAAACTTAATCTTAAAATCAGCTAAAATATGGATAAAACCTTTAAGAAAACTAACAAAGATAAAAGGAGAGAAGATACCGATCACCAATAATGGAATGGGAATATTATTACTGCTGACATCAAAAAGATAGGGAACAGGAAAGGTAGCTAAAAGGGCCAAGCACCTGCATTGAAGGAGACAGGGTCTCATCCCAGCATCTCATGGTCCCATTAACAATGTTGGGTGTGAGGAGCAGAAGTGATAGTACAGCAGGTAGGTCATTTGCCTTGCGCTCGACCAAACCAGGTTCAATCTCCAGCATCCCATATGGTCCTCCAAGCACCATCAGGAATGATCCACGGGGATCACTTAGATGCCTAGTGATAGAAATGGACATTGAGCCCAAGATTTCTCTGTGCAAAGCCTTTTGAGCTGTCTCCCTGACCTCTGTGTCCATATTCTTTAGGCCATTTTTCTAGTGAGTTGTTGGCCTTTATATGTATTATTATAGGAGTAGTTATATGCTACATTGTCTTTGATATGAAGCTTAAATTTTATTTGCTCATTATCACTTTCCTTTTGACTTTTCTAAAAGTCACCAAAATTTTCAAAATTTTTCTTCGGTTACCATTTGTGGTTTCTGGATTTTGTGCTAGTTAGAACATCTTCCCTAGAACTTGGTCATAAATTTCACTCTAGTTTAATTCTTCAGTTGTCCTTTTGAAATCTGTAGTGGCCTCCCCACAGTGGCTCTCCTGGACATAGCTTTAAATGGTAGACTTTATTTCTGGTCTTTCTGGGTCTGATTTTGTGGGTCTCCTCAGCCTTGTTCAAAATCTGGGTCACTGTGAGAACTGGATCATGTTAATCTCACATCCCTCATAGAGTGGTGCTTTACAGGGAAAGGAAGTAAGGAAAGGACATTAGCTGATCTTCTGGCTCTTATCCCATCTCTCAGCAACCTTTATTCCCAGAGACAAACTCTAGTAGAAGAGCCTTTTGTTCCCTGTGCGCTCCTGGAGTTAGTGTTTAGGTGACAGAATCGTTTTGCTAGTCCCCAGGGAAGGAAAGCAAACTTAGGGCCATTTCCTCCCCGTTGATCATTTTTGTAAATCCCACTTAGGTTGCTTCTCCACAGGGACAGCCTGCTGAATTGCTGGAATCTAAAACCGCTTCCCATCACAGTGAGGGGAACTTGGGAGTGTCATCCACATTTTAGCACTACCGCCTCATGATGTATTAGGATGAACTGCTGGCTAGTGGCTGCTCTTGTTGAAACTTGCATTTTCAAAGTGGATATGAGTGGATATGAAAAATATTTGCTTGGTATAACTCCTTTCTTTCCCCCCCTCCTTTTTTTTTTTTTTTAATAAGGAATAGCCAAGCCAGAAGGACAACCTGCTGTGAATGTCACCGGAAATGACATCACCACCCCTCCAAACAAGGAGCTCCCACCAAGCCCAGAGAAGAAAACCAAGGTAGGAATCAGAATGGTAGCTTATCTTCTACCGCTTTTTTTTTAAACAGTATCTTCTGTTGTTATTGCTTGAATCATGAATAAAATTTCTTTTTTCTGAGCTAATATGAACTTCTTAAGTTTGAACATGCTTAGAAAGTTTATATATTCTTTTTTTATATTCTTTTTTTTTTTTATTGATGGGGGAGGCCTTACCTGCTCTACTATCTCTCCAGCCCTAATATTTTACATCTTACTTTACCATAGTGACAGACTTCAACCCTTAAATCTCTTGGTCTAGAGTGATAGTACAGCAGATAAGATGTTTGCCTTGCTTGTGGCTAACCCGGATTCAATTGCCGGTACCACATATGGTTCCCAGAGCACTTCTAGAAGTGCTCTGTGAGTACAGAGCCAGGAATAAAGCCCTTACCAGAGGTGTGGCCAAATAAATCTCTGCTATGCCCCTATCATTTTTGAATATGAGTTATTTTTGCTTTCCTTAACATCAGCAAGTAAAGAGAATTGCAAAACTGTCATTCTTCAATAGATTCTGAAACCTGCATTCATGTAGAGGGCGTATAATTTCGTGTTGCTGGGAGTAGGGGCTTGCATCTAGCATCTAGTGCTTGGAGGCTACTCCTTGCAATGCTGGGGAACCACGGGGCTCCTGAGGCTCCTCCATGCAAAGCATGTGCTCCAGCCCTTTGAGCCAGCTCCCCAACCCAAGGAACATGGATTCTAAGAGACATTATAACATCCAACACTTAATTGGTACTTGTTGCATAGTGAGATGTCACACTTAAGTTTGTTTAAAGTAGGATGTGAAAGTTGTTTAGTCAAGATACAGGTTGTAAATAGTTTAATTGTCTGGTGAAAGTTAGTTAATTGTTTAATTGTGAATACTTCATGAATAAAACCAAGAAATTTGTCACTGTCATTAAGAAAGAATTTCTAATTTTGTCTTCATCCTGATGTCATTCTACAATTTACTGAGCTCAGAAGAAAGAAATGATAATTTTTAGTTGCTTCTATCCTCATTGCTTATACTTTTTACTTTGGATTGTGCAATTTATATTTTTAATTTGTTTTTATTCTTGTCTGTATGTTTGATGTTGACCTTTTTTTTAAAAACAAAACAAAACAACAAATCAACATAAAGCCTTTGGCCACCACTCAACCTGCAAAGACTCTACCAACGAAAGCCAAAACACAGTCCTCTCCTCTCCCTAAGCAGCCAGCTCCCACCACCTTGGGTGGGTCGAATAAAAAACCCATGAGCCTTGCTCCAGGCTTAGTACCAGCTGCCCCACCCAAACGCACTGCTGCTGCCACTGCCAGGTCTTCCGTCTTACCTGCAAAAGACATGAAGCCCAAGGTAAGTGGTCACCCGAGCATCATGCCAGGGGAACATTTACCGCTCTGAGAGTCAGTCAGGCTTTTGCTGCTACCAGACAATGAGTAGAATCAGGCTAGTGGAATTGGGAAATACAGGAAAGGAGGGAGAATAATTTGGAAATCAGTTTGGAGGCTCATGGCTATAATAATATTTGTAGGCCATTGGTACTGTTTTGCCCAAAAGTTTGAAGACAATATAATGTTGACTAGTTCTTGTCCTGTCTCCCACCTCCTCCTTTCTCTTCACCAATTTTAACACTTGTTAACCAATTTCTCTTCCTTCACATATTAATCTAATACTCATTTTTAGTATAATTTTCACATTGAGTTCCATTTAATTTTCAGAGATGTAATCATCATGCAAATGCAGCCTTTCCCCGTTACCCTAGCCTGTGCCCTCTGTATTCAGTGCTTGTTCAGGCTTGACATCTGCAGCATCACATGATCGTGTGCTTTGGTTCGCCACCTCTCACTGGGCTCCTGGAGTCTTGCAGTTGTCCAGGTCACCGACATTTTTTTGCCTGGAAGCAGATCGATTTAGACCATAAAAGCTTCACAGGATTGTTTTTGGAGGAGAGGGAGGGCGATCTGTGTTTGCCTTCTTTATTATCCTGACTGAGAAGGACCCTTAGGTCAGGCTGATGCAATTCCTCAATTGTAGAAAATAGTGAACAATGTTAGTTTTGTGGTTGTCTGGAGAGAATGGTAGAACCCAAGAATTGCAATCTTAACTTTTTTGAGTCCTTTTTAAAGTAAAAAAATATATATATTTTAGGAATGATAAAGCTCTGTTCCTCCTTTACCTAATTCACTGCTTCAAAAAAATTTATAATAATATTAGTTTGAGTAAGAGGTCAAAGGAGAGATACTGAGCCATGCCAGAACTCCTCCCTGATACCTTTTCAGCAGCAAAACCTGGGGAGCTGGTGAGAGGGCGGTCTAGTGAAGTTTCATTTTCTAATAACAATGGAGAAATGCAAGGAAATAGAGGAGGTCCAGGAGCTGAAAGGATGTGCATAATGATGTGCATAATGCCCTCTCAGCAACAGGATTGTACAGCACAGTGCTTAAAAAGAAAGAGAAAGGGACCTGAGCCACAGCACAGCGGGTAAGGTGCTTGCTTTGCGCACAGCTGACCTGTTTTGGATCCACAGCACCCCATATGGTCCCCTGAGCACCTCCAGGAGTAATCCCTGAGCACCTCCAGGTGTGGTGCCACCCCCACCCACCAAAATAGTAATAATTGAAATTGTCTCTACTAGTTTCCTTTCCTTCTCTTGAAGTTTTGAAGTTTTTTAATACTTCCCTTGAAGTATTAAAATTTTGAAGGACATCCTTGAAAGCATCTGGTTTATTCCTTAAATTTTAGAACAGGTTTTAGTGGGGGATTCCTTCTGCACAAAACCCTGAGCTAGCAGCTGAACCAGTCCCCTGTATCTCATCCTTAAAATTCATCACACCATACTGAGTTTTCTTCACACCCTCATTTGTAGAATGATCATTACCCTGAACTTGAAGCATTAGATTTTTATTTACTCCGATGTCAGTCTTTAGTTTGGGGACACTTCCTAAGCTAACTGCCTCCTTTTCTTAGAGTAAAAGAGCTGGGTCCAGTGTATCTCAGAATGGCATGCTTTAAAAAGTAACAGGGTACATTTACTTAAATAGTATGTTCACATCCCCAATTCCTGTAGAAACCAAGCTAAATCTATTCTTCTTTTTTGCTTTGTTTTGTTTTGTTTTTGGACCACACCAGGCAATGCTCAGGGCTTCATCCCTGGCTCTGCAGGCAGGAATCACTCTTGGTGGTACTCAAGGGCCCATATGGGATGTTGGGAATCAAACCTGGGTTGGCTGCTTGCAAGGGAAACACTGTACCCACTGTACCCCACTTTACTCTGGCCCCCTTCTATTCTATTTTCGGTTGTTTGTGATGTTGTATGCACCCAACTGTGAAAAGGAGGAGTTAGAGTGAATGTGCCTGAGGGACTTTGACCTTTTGCTTGCAGTGATTCTGGCCTTCTCCTTCCCTCTGCCTGCCTCTGACTGCCATTGTCTGTGCTCTTTCTCTGCTTCCCTGTTTCCTCTTTCTAATCCTTGGAGATCCTCTTCCACCTTCTTTAACTTGTAAAGGATATCAAATTTAGACTGCCCAGAAACAGAGTAGGTGGGGGCAGGAATGGGGCTGGGCCAATACTAAGATACAGGGAAGAGTTTTCTTCCCTGTATCCCGTTTTGTTCAGTGTTGTTAGGTGCAGAACCACTGAATTTAATTGAAAATAGTTTTTAATATTTATGTATCTGTGTATTTCATTTTTGGTCAAGTATTTTACACCTTAGATATATCATAATTTAATGCAGCAGGTCTTGAGCGGATGTTGTTTGCAGTATGTTGTCCTTTCAGAGCTTTTTATTCTTCTCACTTCAGTTGGTTTGGGTACCTTCTCCACAGCATCCTACATGACTGACTTCTCAGATTTTCTGGGAGATTCTGACTTTAGAACCATATGTATATATTTGCCCTTTCATTAGTGTCTGAGCTCCCGGACCCTGTGTTTTCCAGTGTTTGCTTATCATTCCTTAGCAAGACTTCCTGGGACTGTGCTGACCCATAGCTCTTATTGCCACTTTTCTCTAAGCAGCCTGCTGCAGAGGCAAAGATTCCTGAGAAGCGGGCCTCACCATCCAAGCCGGCCTCTGCCCAGACCTTCAGGCCTGGCACCAAGACCACCCAGACTGTTCCAAAAGCCACTCTTGCCTCAGCTGGGCCAAGTAACCGGAGCTCCCCAACTCCTCTGCCCAAGAGGCCCACTAGTAAGTATTGCCACCCTTTTCTCCTGTGGACCAGTAGGGAGGGCAGGATGGATCCTTTGCTCCAGCCAGTTTCCCAGATACCCCTGCCTGTTGCTTGTGCCCCTGGGCTTATGGGAGTACTTTGGAAAGTGACAACTGTCATCTCCCTTTGAGATTAGCAGTTAGTCATAATCAGAAAAATCTTGAGAACCAGATAGTACAGTGAGCACAACCTAGTATGCCCAACCCCACCCTTTAACTCCCTCTTCTTTAAAAAGAAAACTTTAGTGTGAAGGCACCACTCATGAGTTACCACATAGAATTTACCAATACTTTCTATAAGTGACCTCACATCACTGTGGCATGTATTAGTCATTGGCTTAGATGATAATGAATGTACTATAAATTTCATAGGCATGAAGTAATAACTTCCTTCAAAGGCCTTGTGGAAGGCATTTGAAAACTGTAGAAAAGAAAAAGATGCAGGGGCCAGAGATACAGTAGAGTAATCTGTATGTTTGAGCCCCGCCTGCATGTGTGAACTTCTCCAGCACTGCAAAATAAAAAAATTATATCGTCGATTTGCTCGAGCGGGCCCAGTAACGTCTCCATTGGAGACTTCGTTGTTACTGTGTCTGGCATATCGAATACTCTCGGTAGCTTGCCGGGCTCTCCGAGAGGGGCGGAGGAATCGAACTCGGGTCGGCCATGTTGGCCGCTTGTAAGGCGAACGCCCTACCCGCTGTGCTATCGCTCAGCGATATGTAATTATATGTAATTTAAAAATAAGATGCAGGATCCAAAGAGATAGTACAGTAGGTGAAATGTTTGCCTTGCACCTGGCTGACCTGGTTTGATCCCTGATACCCCCATATGGTCTCCCAAGCCCACCAGGGGTGATTACTAAACACAGAACCAAGAGAAAACCTGGAGTGCAACTGGGTGTACTCCCCCCCACCTCCAGCACTAAAAAGAGAGATGCAGTGTCTTACTGAAAATTCCATAAGGACACAGTCTTTACTCAAGCTGCCTACTTGACTGTCCTATTTCCAAAGACTAATAGTGTCTGAATCAAAGGAGACATTTGGTAATTGTTGGGTGAATGACTAAATCATAGGATTAGATGAGCCAATAAAATCATTACATGTATGTTAAGAAGTTTATACGCTTATGCAGCTGTCAAGACTGAGAGCAAACCTGCAGATGTCAAGAAGACGGTTCCGAAGTCAGCCTCAGGTAATAGCCTCTCCCCCCCCCCCCTTTTTGAGGAAGTCTGTCATTTAAATTCCTACCTCCCTCATGGCTTTGAAAACTTCCTTTGCTCTTCCTTGAACCCTTGTTATCTCTTAATTCTACTTCTGCAGCTGACCTGAGTCGCCCCAAGAGCATCAATTCTGTGAAGAAAGCCCCACCTGTTTCTGGGGCAGCCCCTACTGCAGGGGTGGCTCCCAGCCGAGTCAAGACCACATCCATGTCTTCCCGCTCCCCCATGACATCTTCCACAGAGAAGAAGCCCACAGCAACCAGGCCCAGCCCCTCAACCCCTAGGCCGAGCCGCCTGAATACAAATGCTTCTGCCCCTGATCTGAAGAATGTTCGCTCCAAGATTGGCTCCACAGAAAACATCAAGCATCAGCCTGGTGGAGGCCGGGTAGGTCCAGGGCTCTTGGGGGTTGGGGGTATTTATTTTGTTCTTGCATGATGGCCCCTGTTTCTTGTCCTGCCATATCGAAAACTGGTCCCAAGGGGTCGAAATGATAGTACAGTGGTAAAGTACTGCACATGGCCGACCTGGGTTTGGTCTCAGGCATCCCATCTGGTCCCCTGAGCACTGTCGGGAGTGATCCCTGAGTGTAGAGCCAGGAATAACCTCTGAGCACTTCCATGTGTGATCCCCAAAACCAAAAATAAACATTAAAAAGATAAATAAAACGGGCCTCAAGCATGCCACAGTCCTCATGGCAACCCATGGGGCCCACCCACAAAGGAGGGTACAGTAGGGAGATCAAATTCAGCTTCAGGGAATTTTCGCCTGGGCTTTGATTCCAGCAGCAGGAATGAGAGGACCTCTAGACATCGTCACTCTGTCTCACTCAGGGTTTAGGGTTATATTTTTGTTTGCAGTTTTTCCGGTTTACAAAATAAATAGAAAAGAAAATCTAGACTAGGGGCCAAGAGACATTGGCCATCCCATCTGGTCCCCTGAGCCAGTTCTTGATGGTTGTCACCCTGCACTGAATGTCAGGCAGAAAGTAGATCACCTCTTTGTTCCCTAAGCCCTGCCTTGATGGAAAGTCTGAGGGCTGACTAGGCTGTCCTCTCATGGCCCGAATGACTCGCAAGCCCCTGACTTTCCTTAACAGAACTGCAGGAGGCAGAGCAATGGAGAAAGGCAGGGCAGGGCAGTGTTCCACCTGTAAGGCTTTACTGGTTGTACCCATCTGGAATATATATTGTTTTTTTTATTCTTTGGGAGGGAGGGGTAATTTATTGTTAGCCACCCCGGTGACTTGAGATGGGAAAGAGGTGGTATCAGGAATCCATCTGGAATGTTCAAATCTCTCTGAAACAGTAACTTCTCATTGCCTGCGTCATTCTCTAGCATTTAAACAGCCCCCACACCTCTGCTATCCCTGCTTTGAGCAGGAAAATAAAATTGCTTCAGTTCAGAGCCGTTACACAATTAAAGAAGGTCGAAAGGAGGCCAAATCCTGGTACTGTTGAAGGATAGTGATGGCAAACTAGGGTTCCTTAAGGATATGGCCTTACAGTTTTTGCTAAGAGGGTCTGGCCTACCAGGCGCCTCTGGCACACCGTGCTGTTGTTCCTTTCCCCTCTTTCTCTTATGTGTTTATGATGCAAAAGTAGCAATAGTCTTGGAGGAGTTGAGTGATTTGCTCTGATGAATAAATTATTTTCTGACCCAACATGCTGAAGATATGACACTTACGTCAACTCTTCTGGCTTCCTGTGAGTGTGGCTGTTTGCATGGAGCATACCAGCACTTTTGACAGAGACGACATTGTGATGTGAATAACCCAACATACCTGCCAACCAGAGTTGTTCATTTGAGTTTCTCAGCCCTCCTTCCTCCATCCTCTGTGATTGCTGTCTTAATCTCTTCTCCATGTCTCAGCTTCCGTGCCTTTGCCTTGCTGGAAAATAAGTGTTTTTTTCCTAGGAGAATGTGGACCGGCATCTGCCTGGTGTTCTGGCCTGGATGCGAGTCCTCGACTGCCTTCTCCCTTCTTGGCATTTGAACTCTTATCCTCTTTGTTTGAAATTTGCCCTCCCTTTATTTCCATCCAGGCCAAAATAGAGAAAAAAACAGAGCCCGCTGCCACAGCTCGAAAGCCTGAACCTATTGCAGTCACTAAAACAGCTGGCCCAGTTGCGAATGCACAGAAACCGCCGACTGGGAAAGTGAGTTTTATTTAGACTTTTACCTCACGAAGGTAAAAGGTGGTCAATGATTTCTTCCGGCCTGAGTCACTTTCCCCTCTATTGCACTTTTGTCCTATCCTTAACTAGATGCTGCTACTTCTCATCAGTGTTCCCTTCTCTGTGTTTGATGACTCAGCCATCAAAACCTTTCTTGTATTAACCCTAAACATAAATGACTCGAGTTGAGAACCCATGAGCTGTTTGGGGATATTTACTCAAGGGGGATGACACAGAGCCAAAACCTTCATTCCTGCTTTCATACAGATCTTGGTCTGAGCACAGAGCCCCGGGCTTAGTCAAACATCTTGCACCAAGAACTCGAAAACTCTGTTTTAGGTTAAACTTGAAGGCCTCTCTAATCACTGAGAGAGCTTCTTTTGTTGTAGCTCCCAAGCACACCTTAACTAACCATTGGCGTTCTCATTCCCAGAAGAAACCCATCAGCATAGGGCTTGTAGCACAAACCGGAGTGTAGAGAGGCATCAGCTGGAATGCTGGATTCTTTCTCTTCGCCTCCACACTCCTGCTTGCAGTGTGTTCCATTTCCCCCAGCTGTATGTGATGGGTCATTAGCCTCTCTGGCCAAAGGCTGCTTAAGAAGTATAGGGTATAAAGTCTAACCCCAAGAAATTGAAGAGTAGGCAAGTGAACTCTTCTACATCGTGGCTTCTAGTCCTCCCAAGTCTCTGATTTCAACCAGGGTCTATTAGCCAGTGGGTTGCTAACCGATTATTCATCACGGATGTTATCTGGCTGGCAGGCAGGAAGTGTTGAGTGGTGGAACAGATGGTTGAAATTTCTTAGACTGGATTCTCTCTTCTCTGGAGAACTATTTGTAAGGCTGCGTCATATGTGAAGGGCCATAAAGGAAGGGATAAGATGTTCCTTCTTAGGATTCTTTGTTTCAAACTTTAGCACCTGGCAACTCCATTCCAGAATACCATTCCTATGTAGTCCGGGTGCTGGCGCCTGTGTATACCATCTGTTCTCTCTGCACAGAAACATCATAGAACACACAGATTTGAGCATCTGGAAGACTGAGGAAAGCATTTGATTTTGTATCTCAGAGGAGGTTGTTTTCATAGAGGCCATGTCCAGCAGTATCTTATGATCTGGCTTTAGTGCCTAGGCCTATTCTCAGAGCTGCTCATGTGTGTGTGTGGGCGGGGGGGGGGGTCATGTACGCACATCGATAGTGCTAAGGATCAAAGCCTTGCACACTTTCAAGGCAAATGCTTCACTACTGAGCTGACATCTGGGGCCACCTGAGAAGTGTAAAAGCTACTCAGGCTGTGGCCTGTGCACCCCCTGGTGTCCAGAACGCTGCATAGCAGGTCCAGCAGATCCTGGTCCATTCACATTTATCAACATCTCTAACTGTCGGAAGGAATGTGTCATGTGAACAGCTGCCCAGTACTTTTCTGACAAGCTTTTGCCTCCAGGGTGGTCTGATGGCAAAATTTAAGCCGAAGATATAAGGGAACCTCCATCTCTAAGTAAAAACTCATCCAGTGAGCAGGATGCTTGCCAAGGAAAGCCATAGGACACTGTGACCCAGTTCTTAAGGGGCGAGCAGGAGACAGAGCACCTCTGTCAGGTGGCCTATGCGGGTATCTGAGATCAGCTGTCTGAGCCTGTGGATCATGCCCCAGCCCCCAAGGAACAGTGATGACGACTGTGAAGTGCTTTCACAGCATCCATTTCTCTCCCTGTGTGGTTCAGGCTTTCGCTCCCTTTCCTGCTACTTCAAAATGCTTCCTTTCTGCTTTTCCACAGCTGTTCTGCTGAAGGTGGGGCCGAGTTCAGCAGCTCTGTTGATCATGAAGATCATGTATGGACTCACTGCCACCCTGTGTCTCTTCTAACCAACCGTCTTCCTGTTTTTGTTTGTTCTCCAACTCTCCAGGTCCAGATAGTCTCCAAAAAAGTGAACTACAGTCACATTCAGTCCAAGTGTGGTTCCAAGGACAATATTAAGCATGTCCCTGGAGGTGGTAATGTAAGTATATGCTCTGGCTAGCCGGGGGAAGAGGGCCCCTGCCAGACACACAGGACTATAGAAGCCTGAACCTCAGGCTTGTTCCTGGATCATACACCGGGGTCTCACATAGGCAAGAATGGGGCTGGAGTGATGCTACAAGTGTGGGAGGGTGTGCACAGTCAGTTGAGCTGGTTCTCCTGCCCCTTAGTGTATGTGTTTGCTTTTAGCAAGAGTTTCCTATGCAGGGAGGATATGGTGAGACAAACACATAAGCATTAGAAGAGGTAGTGTCTGTTGTTTGCACATTTCTGGAAATTATAGGTAGCACTGTCCTCCCGTTGTTCATCGATTTGCTCAAGTGGATCCAATAACGTCTTCATTTTGAGACTTGTTACTGTGTTTTGGCATATTGAATATGTCACGGGTAGTTTGCCAGTCAAATCTTTTTTTTTTTTTTTTGGCTTCTTTTTTTACTTTTTGGGACTTGTTACTGTTACTGTGTTTGGCATATTGAATATGGTCTGGAGCGATAGCACAGTGGTAGGGCGTTTGCCTTCCGTACAGCCAGCCCGGCCGAGCCAGGTTCGATTCCTCCACCTCTCTCGGAGAGCCTGGCAAGCTACCGAGAGTATCTTGCCCGCAAGGCAAAGCATGGCAAACTCCCCATGAGTATTGGATATTCCAAACCACAGTAACAACAAAGTCTCAAAAATGGAGATGTTACTGTTACTAGGCCCGCTAGTAACTGAGCAAATCGATGAGCAATGGGAGGACAGTGACAGTAACAGTTGCTTTTTGGGTCACACTCGGCATTGCACAGAGGTTACTCCTAGTTTATGCACTCAGGAATTACTCCTGGAGGTGCTTAGGGGACCATATGTGATGCTGGGAATCAAACCCAGGTCAGCCATGTGTAAGGCAAATGCCCTACCCATTGTGCTATCTCTCCAGTCCCCTTATGTTCGAATCTTAATCTGTACTGCAGAGCACAGTCCTTCCTTCCATAGACTCTTACAAATTGGTATGTGGCTCCATTTTACATTCCTTTGCTAAGAAAATGCTTGTTGCATGAAGTACACAGGAAAACAAAGTCAGATGTGTGAGAAAAGTGTGCCAAGGGGCCAGAGTGATAGTACAGCAGGTAGGGTGTTTGCCTTGCACACAGCCAACCCAGCTTCGATGTCAGGCATCCCATACGGTCTCTTGAGCATCTCTTGGTGTGGCCCAAAAACCAAAGAAAAGAAAGAAAAATGCTCCCAAAACCTGATTCCAGCTGATCTGTGGGCAAGGAGCTGACAAGATTGGAGGTGAACAAAAGGGACATTTCTGGAGAGCCTTAATGTTGGGTTTTAGAACAAGAGACTTGGGAAAGGAGCACTGACAGCCAGGGGCGGGTTTGCGTGTGTTTTGTGAAACATCAGTTGGCCTCGCTGGAGGTAAGATCAGCAGCTCTGAGAAAGGCCATCCTACCCGACTATGCCAGAGTACAGGGGCTGGGGCTGGAGTGATAGCACGGCAGGTAGAGCTTTTCCCTTGCGTGAGGCCGACCCGGGTTCGAATCCCAGCTTCCCATATGGTCCTGTGAGCACCAACAGGACTAATTCCTGAGTGCAGAGCCAGGAATAATCCCTGAGCAAAAACAAAACAGAACCAAAAAAAAAAAAAGTACAGGGGCTGGAGATGCTAAAGGAAACCTGGGTGTGGCCTCAACAACTAAAACAATGATTGGCTCTGAGACGAATTCTTTCACAAACTGAAGAAATAACCTGTTGGGCTGGCACATGCTTTGCATGCAGGGAACCCAGGCTTGATCCCCAGTACTATGTGGTTTCCCTGAGTACCCCTTGGTGTAGCTCCAAGCCAAAATGATATTATAAAATAATGAATCATTCTTGTGTGTTCTCCGTAGGTTCAAATTCAGAACAAGAAGGTGGACATCTCTAAGGTCTCCTCCAAGTGCGGGTCCAAGGCCAATATTAAGCACAAGCCTGGTAAGTCTGATTTTCTGTTCCCCTGGTATGGGTGAGGCAGATTCAGTCCCCAGTGCCTTCATCAGCCATCTCCCACCTGTCACAGCAGTGGGGACAAGGCAGCAGGTCCTTGTCGGAAAGGAGTCTGTGCACTGATCTCACAGGTGGGGAGTGCTGCACCCTCACGCAGACCATTATGTTCACTGTTCCCTGTCGGGTGAACTTTGTGCTGGGGGCCGCCAGGCCCTCCCCAGGCTAAAGCTGAAGGTGTCAGAGAGAGCTCACCCACAAAATCAGGAGCAGAGGCTGTTCTAAGCACAGGAGAGGGGCCCTCAGTTCCCCTGGCAGCCATGTGGTACCACTGAGGGGTGCCCGCACTGAGGGGTGTGTCTGAGCAGAGGTTCAGGGAACTCCCTTGCCCTCAGCAAGAGCCTTTCTAAACCAGAGCCTTTGGCTTTTGATTAACCTTCACTTTTCCTCTTTTATTTGGAAAATCAACTCTTGCTTGATCCCTCCTCTGAGTGACATGGGCACCTGCATGGATTTGGCAAGAAGCTGGAAACTGCTGTTTGCCATGTGAGCAGAGAAGAGGTGCCTGGCTCTGCCTTCTGCTGAGCCAGTGGCCCAGCTAGTTTGAGACCTGTGCCCCTGCCCTGAATGCCAACCTCTACCCCCAGAGTCCTTTTCTCTATTCCCACTCTAGCCCATGTCCACTCATTGGCTTGGCGGCAACTTGGAGCCAGTCCCTTCTCACCTCCATCTCAGTGCCAGCCTCTGTAAAGTCCAGTGGGACCCGACGACTGGGGTACTTCTGGGACAGGGGAGCTGGCAGGAGGCATTACCCGACTTGTCCGGAGCCCGGAGTGGGCATGTGCTGTGCACACAAGGAGGCCCATGGTGAAGTGGGGAGACACAGCTGGGGGGCCCCACAGGCTGACCGGCTCCTTAGTAGGATGAGTCCCTACTTGGTAAGCATGTTCCCTGCGCTTTGATTCATCCTTGGAACCTCTACAGGCACCTCCCAGCCACCTGCAGGTGCGATGGGTAAGATGCCATGGTGGATTCTGTCCCCAGTGCCTTCATTAGCCACCTCCTGCCTGGACTCAACAGTGGGGACAAGGCAGTGGGTCCTTGTCAGGCAGGAGTTTAGGTACTGACCTCAAAGGTGGAAGGGCGCTGCACCCCCATGCAGACTGCTGTGTGCACTGTTCCATGTCAATAGGGTAGAGATGGGGAGAGAAATAGCAAGAGTTGAGTCTCCATGAATCTTCAAATGCTGTTAAAAGTGTGGAAGGGGTATGTGTGTCTGTGTGTGTGTGTCCACATATAGCTTCAAAAGTTACATGTAACTTAGAAAGCTTCCCAGTTTCAAGAGCTCTGCTCCTGGAGAACGGTTTCTGTTTGGCTGCAGGTGGAGGGGATGTCAAGATTGAAAGTCAGAAGTTGAACTTCAAGGAGAAGGCCCAGGCGAAGGTGGGGTCCCTGGACAATGTGGGCCACCTCCCGGCAGGCGGTGCTGTGAAGGTAGAGTGGGGCCTGGGGGGGGGGGAGGGGGGCAGGGGACATGGCCAAGAGGGCTTGGGCTGTGCACTGGAGTCTGGGTCCCAGCAAGTGGGTGCCTGTCACCGCCCCTCAGTCTGTGCAGGAGTCATCTCACCCCTCCATTGCTCTTTTCATTGTTCCTCATTAGCCTTGAGGCAGGAGAGGTGAAGAGGGCCCCAGCCACCTCCAACCCATCCTGGGGACAGAGTCCGCTCCCGAGAGCCCCAGCCCTCCTTCTGTGAGCCCCACAGCTGTTCTGAGGGCCGGGGTGGGGCACAGACAGGTGGTCTGCGAGTTCCAGTTTCCTGCTTCCTTGAAAGGAGGTGTGGGCGCCTGGTGTGTGTCAGGCTCCGTCCCCCTGGGCATGGCTGTGCCAGCAGGCCTTGGAGGAAGCACCCTGTGCTGTCACATGTGTGACGGGGCTGCTGTGTGACTGGCTGGGCCTCTCCTCCCTTCCCTCCCTTATCTCTTCCCTCCCTCCCTCCTTCCACACTGCGTGAGACCCTCTGTTTACCTGGTCACTGTCTCCTTCATTCTGTCTCATAAGTGGGGCCCCGGGGAAGCACCTTTCAGGTTAGTTGAGCTGCTCGGGAGGAGTGAGGGGGTCAACGAGAGCAGCCCCTGCCCCTGCGGCCCTGCCTCTGGCACACCCTCTCTCAGGAGCTCTTCAAGTTCTGACTAGTTTTTGTGAGCATTTGGGGGTCCTGGCCCTGGCCTCATTTCCTACCCCGCCCACCTTGGAGCCTGTCCCTGGCAGGGCCGCGCAAGACGCTCTACTTATGGGCCTGCCTACCTCAAGCTCAGCTTCTCCTTACTCCCGTCCCCTCTCTTGATTTCTGGGATTGTGTTTTTATGTGGAGGCCTGTCTCTGTCCTGAGGGTGTTCCTGTGGCATCAATGCTGGGCCTTCTGGCCATCACGTTCCTATTTCCCTTGTGGCCTCTCCCTCTTATTTCACACTGGTGTTCACATGTCCTCCAACGTCCTCCTGTGAAGCTTTCCAGTCCCCCAGAGTCTGAGTCTCCTCTCCTCCCCTTAATTTCTTCCTTTTCCTCCTCCCGTAACCTTGAGCCCCAGAGCAGAACCTCAGCCTGGCACAGCCTAAGAGATGAGCAGGTGGAGCTCCTTGAGCAGCCCTGAGAAAATCTCTGAGCACAGTTGGTGGGGACTGGGGACAGGCCGAGATTGGTTGGTTCACAGGTGGCAGCTGTTCCTCTCAGAAACTGATCTTAGGGACAGGTAGGGCGTTTGCCTTAATCCGGTCGACCTGCCCCCAGCACCCCATATGGGAGAGATTCTTAAGGAAAGAGCCAGGAGGAAGCCCTGAACACTGTTGGGTGTGTCTCTTCCCCTTGCCCCCCACCCACCCCCCCCCCCCAAAAAAAAAAACTGATCTCAAGCTCCTGGAGCTCCCTGATGGGTATTTCTCTGGCTCATGGCTCAGAACTGCTGCTTGCTGGGTCCCTGGGAGCAGCCCAGGCTCGGCTCCTCTGCTCAGTGCATAGATTCTTGCCCCACACTTGGCCCCCCAAGCCAGAAGTTGGGCCTCCAGGAAGGGTAGGAGCAGGAAGCACCTGTCCAGATTCTGCAGATGAATAGACACTAATGCAGTGGGGCAGGGGTGGCCGGGTGGGGGTTGTGTGCAAAACCCACTCATTCCCCCATCCCACTTCCTCCCCAACTGACCCTGCACTGTCTCCCCCACTGTTTCATTGTAGACTGAGGGCGGTGGCAGCGAGACCCCTCCGTGTCCGGGCCCCCCTGCTGGGGAGGAGCCGGCCTTCCCTGAGGCAGCGCCTGAAGCTGGCGCCCCCACTTCAGCCTCTGGCCTCAGTGGCCACACCACCCTTTCAGGGGGTGGTGACCAAAGGGAGGCCCAGAGCTTGGACACCCAGATCCAGGAGACAAGTAAGTGGCTGGGCTTGGCCTGAGGGCCAGCCAGGGGCCCTGCCACTGGCTGCAAATTGAACCTCCTTTGTTGTTTGACTAGAATGTGGCCTAAATTTTAACGAAGTCACCTTTTATTTTCCAGGCATCTAATGATGACATTCTGGTCTCGTCTTCCGTCCCCTGTGTCCCCCTCTTGTCTCCTTCGTTGTCCTCTTCCCTCCCCTCCTCCCGTGTCACTGCAGATTGAGACGTACAGGCTGACGTTCCGGGCAAACGCCAGGGCCCGCACCGACCACGGGGCCGACATTGTCTCCCGCCCCCCCCACTTCCCTGGCAGCCTCAGCTCAGGCCCCCGCACCCTTGGCTCCCTCCCCTGGGCTGCTCACTAGACCTGAGGGAGCTGAGCAGCCCCCTAGCCCCCTTCTCCCCTGCCTCGCTTGCCCAGGGCAGCTGCGGTCCCACCCCTCACAACCCCTCCCTCTGCCCGGGCCTAGCTTGCTTTGCTCCATCCCGCCCCATCGCACTGCTGCTCCATGGGGAAGGCTAACGGGGCTGGGGGGGAGGTGGGGAGGCTAACGTGGGATCTTGTGGGATCTAGGAGGGGGAACTGGATTCCAACCTCCTCTTTGTCTGGGTTTTTTGGACCAAACCCAAGAGAAACTGACATCCTCTCCCTCCTTGAGTCTGTCTGGAAGGAAGAGTGGATGTGGCGGAGGCCACCTGTGTCCCCTGGAGCCTGCTAAGCCTCTGCCTCCCCCCTGAACCCTGCATTGGTACCCACCATGCCAGTGAGGCCAGGCCTCTTGCTGTCCTGCCCCAAGTTAGTTTGGGGTCAGCGTTCCCTGATCCTGCTTTCCATACCTGACTAGCTGCTGTTTACTTATTTCTCTGGTTTTATCTCTCCTATCCAATGCCTCCTCCCCTCCCGCAATAACCTAAAAACTGGTGTAGTTTGGCAGGTTGAGGCCATCTAAATGAAAGTCCTCAGTAGGTGTTAGAGGAACAGGGAGAAGAGATCCTTAAGCCTCCTGCTTGGAGGTCAGGCATAAGGGGGCTGCCCTGGGCTGGGTAGCTCAGGGCCCCAGAGATAGAGTGGGTTGCAGGAGGGCACAGAAGTGTGCCCTTGGTGAGCTGGTAGGGCACACCAGGGGCTAGTCAGAGTGGGCTGGTGGTTATGGCATTTTGTGTGTATGCTGCTTTTCTTTTTAACCATGAGGCTGTCTCATTCCCTGGGATCTATTGGGAGATACACTTTCAGGGTTGGAGACACAGGGAAAGGCCAGGGAGGTGAAAATCCTCTAGCCTGCAGACTTGGGACACTCAAGCCCTGAGTTACTGCGGAGCCCAAGATGTCCAGCACTCATGGATTGTGGGGAATCAGGTCTGGAAATTTTTTAAAAAGACATGGGACTGAGGCCATCCGCATCCCTGGTCACCTGACTGGAGAGGAGAGGCAGTGAAGAGAAATCCCGGGAATTGTATTGACACGAAGATTCTTATTGCACTTGTATTTTTTGTATTAAAGATTGCATGATTTCTAATAAAAGATTCAAACATAACAGTTTGCAGTGGAATGGCCTGGGAATTCCCAAGGGCTTCTCCTCTGGCCAGGCATTTGCTGCAGTGCAGACTTGCCTCTGAGGTAGCAGCCGGACTTGGGCCTTCAGGCCTTCCCCCTTCCCCTACTCCTGATGTCCCTTGGAGCTGGAGAAGGGCACCCCTGGACTAGGCAGGTTCTACACACTTGCAGTAAGTTTCTTTGGGCAGTTTTAACACCACATCCCCAACTTCCCAAGCATATACCAAGAAGTTGCAGGGATCTAAAGTGTTCCTAGAGCCTGACTGTCAACAGTTTCAGTATCAGGGCCCCTGTGTCAGGAGGGGTGAAATGGAACTAGAGATTCAAGGGGTGGGGGAGCATGAGGAAAAAACAGTAAGGGTAGGGCACCTGTGTCCTCTGCCAATCTGACGCTGGACAGATCCTGAGGCTGCCTTGTTGGCCAAGGGTGGAGAGGTCACTGAGGGGACATCGCGCTGAGAGGTGTTCCCCGGTCACAGCTGCCTTGGAGAGGGGGATGGGCAGGGGGTGGTGGGAACCAAAGGCCTCTGTGTGCTGTGGAGTCGCGGCCTTTATGGGCAGGATGTCTGTTACTTCCTAATCTGCTTCTGACTCGGCCTTTCTGTGCCGGTCTGATTCTGTTATGATTAAGAGTAAATAAAGCTCATGTCGTCCCACCATCACCTCGTCTGTATGATCTAATCTCCGCCCCCAACCACACTGCTATCTCGACTTGTGCATCTGTTCATCTGTGGGCAAGGGCACACAGGGCCTCCCAAAAACCAAGCAGACCTTGGCTGCCGAACTGCCTGTGGGCCTTCAAACCTGTGCTGTGCCCCCCCCACCCCCTCCGCAGATGGAGGTGGCAGCACTCCTGGAGGCTGCTCACTTAGCACTCGCTGCCGCTGCAGGGACAGGACAGGGCACGTACCTACTGAGCAGCTAGCTGTCCCAAACACCAGACTGGCCCGGGCACTACAAGCCTATCTCCTGCTAGGACCTGAGTTGGGGAAGCTTGGAGCTCCCCTATGCCCTAAGATGGGCTACAGAAGCCCAGTCTTCTGCATGAATCTCGTCCCCTTCCCAGGGTCCCAGCTTAGGAACCAGTTCAGAGGCCCCAAGAGAGGGACCTGCCCCCCTCCCGTGGATAGCGAAGCTCACAAGGGATAAATAGAACTTTATTTTAAATAAACATTTGCACTCTGTACACAGCCCCAGTGGCTGGGGGCTCAGTCGTCGGCGGTTTTGCGCACGTCGAAGCTGCCGCAGGGGCCGCGCAGCAGCTCTGCCAGCAGGGAGAGGAGCTGCCCGTGCTCCTGCTGTACCCCGGGGGGCAGAGCGGCCAGCTCGCTGCGCAGGCTCCGCTCCACCATGCGGCCCAGGGCCCGGCGCAGCTCCCTCAGCAGCCGCACAGTGCGGGAGTCACCTTCCAGCCTCAGCAGATCACTGTCACTCAGTGAGATGGTGGCCCGGCGCCCGTCATCTGGGAAAGGGAAGGTCAAAGTGAATCTGGGTCCTTGAGGTACGCGTTGGTGGGGAGCTGGAGCTGGGGCTGGGCAGGCAAGGCTGTGAGCACCCACCACGGATATGGACGTCCCCGTCAGTCAGCAGCAGCACGGCAAGCGGGTGCACCTGAGAGGAGTCCCGGACGAAGACGCTGCCATTGGACTTGACAGCCATGAAATATGTGAGCCATCGACTCCGAAGCCGTGTGGCCTCCCTAGTAAACAGGGCTGTGTGAGGCAGCCTGGCAGCCAGGGACAACCACCCCAACCCACCCAGCCTGCCAGCCCCTACCTGTTAATGGTGGACTTGTGCAGCAGGATGTTGCCTGATTTGGTCCTGTAAGTGACACTATTGGGCTTGAACTTGCCCTGCCGGGTCACCTTGCCCTGCCTTACCTGCAGTGGCAAAGGGAAGATAGGTGAGCAGGCATGGGGCTGGAGGTGGGAATGGGGCTGCGAATCATGTCCCCAGCAGTACCTGGATGAGGTTGGGGTATAGCCCTGCCATTAGCACACCCTTAACCAGTTCCTCCTCTTCACTGTACTCGTTGCACTGGGCGGAGGGCATCGTACAGTCGGAGGGCTTTCCCACCAAGAAGGCTTCATAAATGTTCTCTGAGAATTGCTTGATGAGCCCTGGGGAGGCAACGTCAAGGTGACTCTAGGGCCCAGGGCCCTTTGCTCCATTTTGGGCCACATGCAACTGAGGCCCCCTTATGCAGAGCAGGCACTCCAGCCTGGAAGCCCTCCCCCCAGCCCCTGCAGGCAGGATGCTGCTGACCGTGGATGAAGCGCAGACTGGGAGCATAGAGCAAGTTTTCCTCCAGGTAGTTCTCGCGTGAGCTGCGGTCCTGCCAGCGCAACACCTCCTCCCAGCCAGCAACAGCCCGCACGAAGGCAAGGTGGTCACTGCCACTGTCGTGGCTCAAAAGTGCCTTCACCTGGGAGTGGATGAGAAGGTACTCGGGTCACAGGGCAAGGACCAGGTTCTGCTGAGGGCAGTAAAGGCAGAACCTGGAAGCACATGGGAAGAAACTGGCTCTGACCTTGTCCACCTCAGCCCGGTTCTGCAGACTGCTGCTGAAGGGATCCCGGGTGAGGCAGGAAACAACCACCAGCAGCGGATGCAGGCAGCGGAAGATGGCAGCCAGCACAATGGCCTTGGCCAGCCGGGGATCCGTAGAAATGTGGGCCAGTCGTTGCCCCAGCGTGGTCAGGTACTCCCGCTGGTCCAGTACCCCTACAATAGCCTCAGCTGTCAGTCTGGCCCCCAAGAGCCATGAGCTACAGCCCAACCCGGCCTTTCCCCACTCACCAATCTCCTGAAGCAAGATCACAGCCTCATCCACTGCCTTGATGTTCGGACTGTCCACAGCTTTGGAGAGGAACTCCACTGCCTAGAGAGAGAACAAGCCAACAAGACAGGCCCTCGTGAGCTGGAACCCGCCTGCCATGCCTGCAGGATGCGGGAGTCCCACACGGCCATACCGTCTTCTCGGGCATGTGGATCTTGGCCTGAAGCACCAGGTTCTCCAGGGGTGTTCGCAGGATCTCCGGCACTTGGAAAGGAACCATCTTCTCCAGCCGGCTCCGCGGAAAGAGGTGGTAGGCAAAGCCTGACTGGCAGCGGCCCGCTCGGCCTCGGCGCTGGATCACATTGGCACGTGACACCCATACAGTCTCCAGGCAGGACACCTGAGGGAGGAGGGAGGGGGCAGTGAGCAGCCACCCGGCCCTTGAGAACCTCACTGTTCCCCCACACCCGTTGAACCCCCTCAGCAAGTCCACCCCACTGACACAGACCCCAAGCATGGCCTTTCCCAGGCACACACAGCTGGACTGGGGGCCACGTTAGGATTGGGCATTCTTCCCCCTGTGGCTAGCTGCGCCCGGGGACAGAGCAACCTTGGTCTTCAGGTCATAGCGCTCCTCCTTGTGCAGACCGCTGTCCACCACATGCACAATGTCGTTGACTGTGATGGAGGTCTCCGCGATATTGGTGGCCAACACAATCTTGCGCACCCCCATTGGAGGCTGCTGGAATATGGCCTTCTGGTCCATCATGGGGATGTTGGAGTGCACTGTGGGAGCAAAATCATGTGGGTTGGGGTCATGGCTATGGCGCCCATCACCTGTAGGACAGGGCAGGATTCTAACAGCAACCCCACCCCTTCCTTTAACCTGATAGATTGGTGGTTACACCGGTGGTGCTCCGGGTTCTGCTGTGCCGAGAATCAAACCTAAGACTCCCAAATGCAAAGCATGTGCTACAGCCCTTTGAGCCATCTCCACTGCCTTGACCCCATTTTGATGGAAACAAAG